ATATATATATATATATATGAGTAAACCAACAAATAGGATCATCGAACTCAAGGTTCCTATCATTCCGCATGACATACATCTAAGTTATAACAACGTCGGCAATCGTTGACTGGTCGCAGGCGTTTGGGGGCTGAAGGCTCATGTCTTCAACTCTACCATGAAGCCTAAATCTCTCGGTTGAGGGTCAGTGTGACTTGCTTTCGGGCCGGGCAGGGAGGCCTGGGATACGGCACCAGAAGACTCCGGCCAAGCTCGCATCAAAAACGGTTTAAGTTTAGGGTGCAGGGAGTTTTGGTGTCATTTATTTACCAAGAGGTACATCATTTGACAGTTTCGCCAATTCCTGATCACCCTGCATCGTCGATCCCTTCGTACCCTAAACCTTCAGCCTTAAACCCTGTACCGTAACCATAAACCCTGTAACCCCCAATGAAACAACTTAGGATTCGGAAAGTCGGTATAGGTCTTCGGGACTCCTGCCTCAGCACTCGGTCTCCCAAGAGACCCGCTTTCAGCTGATTGTCCATAGCATCACACATCTCCAGGGAGATTCTCTCCTTGAAGGTTTAGGGCTGAGGGGCTTCGAAATTGGAGTCCAGACTGTGGGGGTTTGGGGGTTATAGGGACAAGCGTCCAAGAAGTCTACGGCCTACACATACACCGGTAAAGACAGTCTGCAGGCGGCTCTATCCGAAAATCCCCCTTCTGATTGTTCTTGTGGCGAATGCCCTGGAAGTCTTCACAAGCGTCGGCACTTTTATGATACTGTACTCAGTGTAATGGATGCAGCTTGAAGACCTGGTCGCGATACGCACGGATCACCACATTGTTGCTCATGACATCGGAGATCAAGCTGTTCACGTCGGACCGTGCAGTGGACATGCAGTACCGCAAGGGCACTGTGGTGTTCCAGTATCCTTGAACCGCAGGATGATTGCAAGCAAGTCCAGCAAGAGTCCTACCTTTGAACCTCCAAATCCCGCATCCCAATCCCAAGTCCAACAATGTCAAAAACCCACCACCACCACCAGCCAGATCCGTGTGGCTGCTCGTCTGACTCTTGCAGCCCAGAAGCTCAGGCAAAGAGTCCAAATCAGGTAGTAGAAGGGGATAGCAAGGAAAGTCACCATGAGAGGGAGGATGGTGTGCACGTAGATCAAAGGAATCAAGGTCTGGTACACAATGGCAATTGTCCCAGTGGCCTTCATGTACCTGTGCTTCCCTACTGGCTCTATGTACAGCACTTTACACATACTTACGTGCATCAAGCGTACATATACATGTGTATATATGGTGCAGCGTCGCC